AGCACTAACATGATAAAAGGAATTTGTCGCAGTTTCCTCTCTAGTAAAAAATTTTATTGAGGACCTAGCGGAAAAATTAGTAACTGCTGTCCTTTAGTTTCTTAGTCTCATAACTATGGCAGAATAACAATTGAGAAACCAGAGAAGGGTCTAGGCCAAACCAGTGAATAAAAGAACCTTTGTGAATAATCCTGTAATATCAAACACAAACTTCTCATTACTTTTCAAATACGTTTAAGTTAATTCACGTTAGGAGAATTTAGTTTTCAGTCAAGACGTCAAAAAGTTGTCACCAAGCAATGATTTGACGTTTCCATGTTTTTCTTGGTTTGGCTAAGACCCGATTATTTTTTTTTTCTGACAAATGAGACAAGAACTAATACATGGTAACGCATTAGAGAAGAAAACGTGACTTTTTTTTCTCTGCTTTGAGTTTGCTCAAGGTAAAGAATAGTTAAAATCAAAGCAAGAAGGGCGCATTTTGCTATTCCTAGACATTGTCGATTCGTGGTGTGGAGGATGGACACTGTAAACTGTAAAAGGCAACCTGGTACCATAGCCGGAGTTTAATTTTATGTGTGTGAGTGTAGCCAGCCGAGAGGCTGAAAAGTTCGGTTAAACAGTTAATTTTGAAACGAATAATGAATGTGAGATGGGCATAACGTGGAGTTAACCTAACATTTGCACTACACGAGATAATTTCCTTGTAATAACTGCCAAGGACGTCGGTTACCTTTAGATAATCAGGTATTGATTTTGATTGGTTGATAAATTGGCCAATCAAAATGAATAATGACGTCACTGGACAAATTTCCCAGGAGTGCAGCAATTTGCGCAACAACCTCGTTCTCCAGGACCGTGGGAACGAGGTTAGTTGCGAACGCGGCAGCCGTCTTTGATAGTCGTGTACCGTACTAACATGAAAGATGCCCCAAGACTTTGTACAGAAGACCAAGGAAAGCGAGGTGAAAAACAACGTTATTACACGTTAAATATGAACTCAAAATTGAACCTTCGTTTATTTTGGTTTTAGGATATGCCAAACAAAATCGTATTACTGTTGTTGTGGTAGTTTGTGCCATTTGAAATGCCGTAAACTTCCGATAGTAACGCAACCCTAAAAAGCCCCCACTTACCACACCAAAAAAGAAATCTCAGGCTAGCTCATCCTTCCGGTTAAAAGCCCCCTCCCCTCCCACTTCCCACTCACCCCCCGAAATATCTTATTTTGTGTTTAGATTTACCTTATGAAAAGTGAAATCGCATAGGATGATAAGCTTACCATTATTAGAGGGCTATGTTGTATTTTGTAGTATGTCCACTTCATGTTGTTTATAGATTTTCACCACGCGTCATTCTTGTATTCACCTAAACGTGTCCAGGCGAAACATCCCTTCCCACAATATAATAAAGCGCCACGTACCTCCCGGATAACCCCTCCCCCTTCCCACCCGCCCCCTAAATAACAAAAAGTCATTTTGAACAAATTTAAGCCCAGATCTTACCATAGTTTTACGGAATTACTCGTTTCAACGGATTCCCTTAGAGCTTAATCTGATTTCATGTACCACCTAATATTAATGCCTTGTATAGCGCGCGTAGTGTTTGTGATCTTGAATGCGTACACGAATATCAAGCTGATTTGTAAAAGGTTCGGGAAAAGGTTTTAATGACATTTTTGTGTAGTCAATATTTATCTTTAATATAAATTATTATTTCTTTTGTCCCTTGGACCTGTTTGTTTTGTAGTGTATCCCTAAAGAATATTAAAACCTAGGCCTGCTTTGGAAAGCAAGTTGTGAATGTAAGAGGTTTCTTTCTTTCCACTCGAAAAAAAATGATTAATGAGAGCTGTCTTGCAATTGGGGCTCACGTTTTGAGTAGTGAAGTGTAAAGTTTAATTTGCCCTTACCTTCTTTTGCTTTTAGAATTGTTAAACATGGTTGCCACGGGTCCTAAAAAAAATCAGGAAATAAATTTAACGTCACAACTCGGGGAATTTAGTTTCCGGTCAGGGAAACTTTGAATTTCTCGTCAAATTTAAGGATTTCTATTTTACGTTTTCTGCAGGTTTTGAAACGTGAGTTTTGGCAGAGATCGTCTACTTAGCCCACTTACGGCTAATGAAGAATGTCTTCTGCCAAACAAATATTGCAAATTCAAAGCGTTGGTAATGTGACAATTTTTCCACTCGATCAGTGTCACTATGGTCAGTGGAAATTATTTTGCGAGCCGTGAAAAGTCGCGGTATTCATGTTTCTTGTGTGACGACCTTGTAAAGAGGTTCTGTCACAGCAGTGGTGGGAAACTATGTCGAACACAGAAAAGGTCAAATTGTTTTCACAGAAAGCTAGTTAGGTCTTATTTTACTAAAACTGAAACGAGCCCCTTTCAAACATTTACATATAAAGCTCTACTGAGTTAAGGAAATTAAGTACACCATATGAACAACCGGGAGGTCATTTGTTTATAAACGGCTTCTAATAATAACGAGTGAAATCGTTGGTGTACAACTTTACTTTTGTAAATGAGTCAAATATTCCTTATGTTAGTAAATGAAATGCGTACCAACCAACCTTGCGTAGCAGTTTCTTTTATTTTATGGCAAACATCTCTCTGAAAGATGCATTTTACAAGAGACTGCGCATGTAAACCAGTCTGCACTGGGCAGGGTTATATCTGAGTAGGATATACATGTAAAGCAACAGGATTTGTGGTCATAAGAGTACTATGAACATTATTTTTGATTCTGCGCGAAAGTTTAATAAAAGTCGGGGTTTCATCCGTTTAATTCCGAAGCAATAAAGTAACCGGGATTAAAGAAACCAAGACTAAACGTATTGCAATTAATTTTGATGTAGCGAAAGTGCTGACTTGCCCTGAACATTATGAACCCTCTTGGAAATGTAAACAAATCTTCTGAGTTTGACAGTAAATCGGTCGATCTGTGATCTATGCCAGTAACGATTTCCGTTCTAAGTTCGAAACAAATATAAATTATCCGCAGCAATTTTCATACGGCCCTATTGATGTTGCTTCTAAGAGTTTGATGCTACATTCAGACTAACCCTCAGTTGGTGAAAGTGATCAGTTTTTTTTTCTCATCACTTGCTTGGTTAACATTATTGTTTGTATTGTATGGAGAAACTCGATTTTGACCATTTCTGAGAACGCAGCAGTTCATTTTCGCCTTGGATTTTAACATCCCGATGTCCTCGTAGCTTATGGCTTCCCTGAAATTGTCGAAATTCAAGAGTAAACTGATATAACAAGGCCCTTTAAGCTTAGTTACATTTTCTTTTTTTTTAAAAAAAATTATAATACCCCGCTTTCCTTTCATTGCTGTGTTGGCCGTGTACACTATGAGTAGGCGATTTGTGTTGTATTTATTCATCAGATTTCCCACATGGGCAGAATGCTATAAAAATTCTTGTGGTATGAGTTTTCTCGTACCCACCACCGAAAAGGCCTGACGGGCCTAGTTGCTACGTCAAAAAATGTAGCTTAACCTCGTCCTTAATCCGTTAATAGCTTGTCTTTTACATCAAACTTTAGCTCCGTACTCCATGCAGGAGAAAAAAACAAGGTTACCTTTCTCATAAAATGTCTTTTCCTTGCACTTCCAGAACTAACTGAAATTCGAAGTGTTTCCTTTTATCTAAATTCGGCAATTTCAGAAGACTTTTTTCTCGTAGTCAAATATGTCTTTTAAAGAAACAGTTTTATTATATATTCAATTCCAAACATAAAATTTCTCAATATTTGTCAGAAGTAGCGTTGTAAAATGCTAAAATGGCATCTTTAAAATGGTCCCAGAAGTCAGGAAAATCGCCCTCAGTAAACTCGGACATGGTTTTTGTGAAAGCGAAATAAGGAAACAAAGTAAAACTTCTAATATTCTGTTTGCAGTGCTCTCGGAAAATTAGTTTTTCTGTAACAGGAAATGAAAACATCATAAGCGTATTGATTCCTTTTAATGCACAAACTGCTCGGCAAAGTAAACTTTCGACCACCAAGTACACAAATGGGATTAATAATTACGATTCCGTCTAACTTTTTTCTGCTAATAGTTGCTTTCAGATTGGATCTTATGACATGATAATTGACATAAATTCCAGTTGTTCGACTTTGTAATATTGCTTCTTTGACAACGTTTTTTAATCTGTCCATAATTGCACAATGATTCTCTTCATAATCAATGGCAAATAGAAGAGTTGGTTATAAAGGAGCGAGTGCGATCGATTGTTCAGCTGCGCGGAAGAACTCAAACACGATTTGACTGTCCCGTTTTCAACAGGTAAGTTTCATAAGAAAGGCAAACGTAATTCAGTCTTAAGCGCACTTGGCAAAGAGCAACTGCGGTTTTCCCCACTTGTGGTTAAAACGTTAACCAGGCCGTCGCAATCTGGTAAGCTTTTCTCAAAGGTTTCTTTTTCTAAAATGATTCATACATGTTAAAAATAGAAGAAATAGAGAAACTGGTTTCATTAAGAATGGGGGACAGAAACATCGAAAAAAAATTCTGGCATCATCTTCTCTTAAATACCACGGGGAAAAAACCTCAATTTTTGGCAATGACATTCCTTGTGCGAAAGGATAACTCAAAAAAAAAAAAAAAAAACCTTCAAGGAAAGATTTAATTTCGGCAAATGAAGGGACTGCTTGTAATTCCTCTATTAAGGGGGTCCAGCTCACTGTTTTCTAATTCTGGACGAGAATTTTATTTGTGGACGTGGTCAACCACTTGCATTCATCAAAAGTGTTACAAATTTTGAAATGGTTATCCATCGGATAATATTTTGTTGTCGAAGATTTCCTAAATGAAGATTTGTGTTAATGATTTTTAAAATCAGTGTAACAAAAACTGATCTTTACTTGTCGAGTTGACTTTGAACTCGATTTTGTTACTCAAAAATACGTGGAAAAGAGTCAAAATTTCTTTGTTTAGTGAGCTGTTGAGATAAACAATCTGATTTCTATATGTGTTTCTTCTGAAAATTGGTCGATTTTGAGTCTGAC